CCACGAACGAACCCCCAAGCTTTGAGGGTATGTGGACCTGCGGCGGCGGCGGCCTCTCGGGGCGCGGTCTCGAGCCGCCTCGGGAACATCTCGGGGCCGCCTGGGGCTGTCTTGAGGCTATGTCGGGGCCTGCGGCCAATCGACCCTACTCCTGGGCCGCCGTTTGGGCTCTCTCGGAGCGCCCGGAATTTCCCGGGGCCGTGCCTCTCGGGCGCCCGTGAACGCAAAAAGACTTACCTGGAGACCCCACGGGCCGCCGCGCGCGTGCGCGAGCTGCAGTGATCTACAACCCCTCCGAGCCGTCTCGCCCGAAGTCTTGGCACGCCCTCGGCCCGCTGGGCCAGCGAGTTTCGCTGATGATGAGGCGGAGGAGGAGGAGGAGGAAGAGGAGGAGGTGGAGGAGGAGGAGGCGGAGGAGGAGGAGGCGGAGGCGGAGGCGGAGGCGGAGGAGGAGGAGTAGGTGGAGGAGGAGGAGGAGGAGGCGGAATAATAAGAAGACTAGTAATGAGAATAAGACGAATAATAATGATAAGAATAATGGGAATACTACTAAGAATAATAACAAGAAGAACACGAATTATAATATTACTACTACTACTACTACTACTACTACTACTACTACTACTACTACTACTACTACTTCTACTACTTCTACTACTACTACTACTACTACTACTACTACTACTACTACTACTACTACTACTACTACTACTACTACTACTACTACTACTACTACTACTACTACTACTACTACTACTACTACTACTACTACTACTACTACGACTACTACTACTACTACTACTACGACTACTACTGCTGCTACTACTACTACTACTACTGCTACTACTGCTACTACTACTACTGCTACTACTACTACTACTACTAATAATACTACTACTACTAATAATAATAATAATGATACTACTATTAATAATACTAATAATACTAATAATAATAATACTCATAATAATAATCATAATAATAATAAGACTAACAATAATAATAATAATAATAATAATAATAATAATAATAATAATATTGATGATACTAATGATAAGAATAAGAGTAATAAGATGAATAATAAGAAGAAGAAGAAGAAGAAGAAGAAGAGGAGGAGGAGGAGGAGGAGGAGGAGGAGGAGGAGGTGGAAGAGGAGGAGGCGGAGGCGGAGGAGGAGGAGGAGGCGGGGGTGGAGGAGGAGGAGAGGGAGGAGGAGGAGGAGCAGAGGGAGGAGGAGGGATTGGGAGAAGATAGGGATGAGGAGGGATTGGGAGGTGAAGGAAGCGAGGCGGGGCAGAAGGTGGAAGAGCCATGCGAACGACGGCGATGATGATGGTGGGTGATGGGTGGTTGGTGGTGACGGTGCCGATGACGCAACAATCCGCCGTGCCGCGGGGCGAGTGCGTCAGAGGCCGCGCCGCCCCGCACGGCCCTTGCTGTCGGCCCCAGTCCCCTGTCCTTGTCCTCCTCCTCCTCGTCCTCCTCCTCTTCCTCCTCCTCCTCCTTGTCCTCCTCCTCCTCCTCCTCCTCGTTGTCCTCCTCCTCCTCCTCCTCCTCCCTCCTCCTCTTTCTCCTGCTCCTCCTCCTCCTCCTCTCCTCCTCTCTCTTTCCTCCTCCTGCTGCTGCTGCTGCCCCTCCTCCTCCTCCTCCTCCTCCTCCTCCTCCTCCTCCTCCTCCTCCTCTTGGTCACCTCGACTCAGATCTCAGAGATCGCAGCGCCTGCTCTTACGCAGAAGAGGAAAAACGCGTGTGCGAAGTGATCAACTGGTGTGACAACCAGGCACGGCAGAGCAGCAGGAAGATGGGAATGCCTTGGGGATGCGGATATAGAAAACGACGCAGTATGCAACGGCAGGCTTCATGGCAAGGAGTTCCTGAGAAGTTGAACATCGACGCATACATACATGAAAGTTTGTTTCCATTCAGATATGGGAAAATGTTAGCCAGCGTGGACCCCAAACAGTCGGTTCTTGCAGTCTATGCGGTGCAATCTATGTGGTGCAATGTCTGTGATGCAACCTATGCGGTGCAATCTAGCAAAGCAAGGCGGCGACGGACGGCGATGGGCGGCGATGGACGTCGCCGGGCTGCACGGCGACGAAGAGCCGGCACTGGTCCCCAGATGGTTACGACAAATAAGAAACCCTCAGTGCAAGCACTGTTTGGGGAAGAGTAAAAGAAAGGAAAGTAAAGTAGCAAAGCAAAGCAAAGCAAAGCAAAGCAGAGTAAGTATGGAGCAGAGCAAAGCAACGCAAAGCAAACTGAGGCAATGCAAAGCAAAGCAAAGCAAGTAAAGTAGAGCAAAGCAAAGCAACGCAAAGCAAATTGCAGCAAAGCAACGCAAGGCAAAGCAAAACTGAAGCAAAGGACAGCAAGGCGACGACGGCGTGGCGACGGCGGCGGCGGTGGGCGGCACCGACGGCGACGGTCGGCCCTGGTCCCGAGACGCGCGGCGGCGTGACGGCGACGGGCGTGACCGCCCGCAGAAGGCCAGCCCTGGTCCCGAGGTGGTTAAAAGAGAGTTGGCGGCGAGAAGAAGGGGGTAGGGGGAGGGGGGAAGGCTTCTTAGAAGGAGGCTGCTTCTTAGAAGGCGCCGGCCTTACATCTACAGAGAATGCCCGCACCTTCTGAGAAGCAGGGGTGCTTCTAAGAAGCCTTCCCCCCTCCCCCTACCCCCCTCTGCGCGCCGCCAAGAGAGGTAAGAGCTCCCTAAGTGCAAACGCTGTCTGGGGAACATGACATGAGGGTAAGAGGGAAACACAACATATGGAATATGTTCGGGATTCTGGAATTGGCGTATACTGATTCAAGTGAACGCCCCTGGGGAGGCAGAAAGCCGGCCCTGGTCCCGAGGTGGTTAAGAGAGGTAAGAGCTCCTGAGTGCAAACGCTGTTTGGGGAGCATGAAATGCGGGCAAGAGGAAAACGCAACACATGGAATATGTTCGGGATTCTGGAATTGGCGTATACAGTGTCGTTTTGAAAAAACGCAGGGATTTAGTATTGAACACAACGAGGAGTTCATGCATAAATTTCTTCATGCATTAATCATGTATTAAAAATCCGATATGTTAAAAATCCCATGTATTAAAAACAACTGCCTTGTACATTGATTTAAATGAACGCCCCTGGGGGAGGCAGAGACCGCCGCCCCCCTTTTCGTTGGAACCCAGAGATTTTCGTTAATGGGGGTCCAGCGCGGCCCCAGACGGTCCAAGGAGCCTCGGAGGACGGCGCAGGAGGTCGGCAAGAGGCTTCCCAAGACGGCATGGAAGTGTGCCAAACGTGTCCAAGTCTGGGGACGACTGTGGTGCCAGATGCGCAGACGCAGAAAGAGGCAATCACACGCTCGCTTTGGGCCCCCAGAAGGGGCCTCCCAGACAGGAGGAGATTTACCCTTATGCACCTCGCGCGCTTCTGGACTTCTCTCGCGCGGGGAGGTCGGAGGACGGTGCACGTAAGCGGACGAGAGATGAGTCACTTCTCGAGCCTTTCTCCGTTTGTTATTGGGATCCTTCCGCTCGGCGGGGCGACGAGCTCTTGTAGCACGCGCTCTTTCGCTTCTTGTTTGAGTTCCGCTGGATCGACTTGGGTCCATCTTTGGCGGCGGGGGTCTGCCAGGGGCGGCGTCGTCGCCACGGCCGGATCCACCCGAGAGCCAATCTTCACATGCTTTTTTGTCTTCGTCACGGCCTGGGAGGGTCCAAGCAGACGCGGGAAAGAGCTCCAAGAGGATCTCCAGAGGGCCCCAAGAGGCTCCGAAAATGGACCAAAAGGGCGCCCAAAGGTGTCGAAAACGGCGGAGGAATCCGAGAAGGGGGATATACGATACGGAGAGGCAGAACGGAGCACCGCCACTTACTTTTGGGGCCTCAGAAAGGCGTCCAGGGACATCCAACGCGAAAAGGGCAGGGCGCCCAGACGGCCCAAGATGGGTCTGGGAGGCCTTTAGGATTTAGGACGGCCCAGGAGGCCTTGGAGATATGATTGCGAAGGCCTTACGGCCGGTGCCGCAGACCCTGAAGGGGGACGACGACGAAGACAGCGACGATGGAAATATTCAAGAAGTTAAGGATGGGAGGGAGGAGGAGAGCGGGACGGAGGAGGTGAAAGGGAAGGGGAACAGGAGGGAGGAGGGAAGATAATTTGGAGGAGGGGGAGGGATGAGGAGCTGAATGGCGGAGGAGGCGCCATGGATTCGCCATCTACCAGGATGGGGGTGGTGTGTCGCCACTAAGACAAAGGTCAGCGCGGCAACCGCTTTACTGTGTATACACCGTCGGGCTGCCGACGACGACGACGCTGACGTGCGTCAGAGTCCTCAGGCATGCTTCTTGAGGTCTGGTCGAAACGCTCCTGGGGTCTCGGGGGACAGTGTAGGTGTCTTTTGGGAGCCCCTTGGGGGCCTCTTGGGGCTTCCCGGGGACCTCTCGGGAGCATCTCGGGGTCTCTATGGGGCTTCTTGGAGGCCTGTTGGGGGCCTCTTGGTTTCTCCTGGGAGCACTCGGGGCGGAGGGCTCGAAATATCTGTTTTGTTCCGTCGTCTCGACGCCGTCTTGGAGCCGTCTTGGGGGCCTCTGGGGCCCTTTTCGAGGCGTCTTGGGACTCTCTTGGGCCCTCTGGGGCTGTCTGGGGGCGATCTGGGAGGCCGCTTGGGCCGTTTTGGAGCGTCGGGAAGATCGCCGGAATCATTCCAAAAACTAACTGGGGAATTTGCGATTTTCGTTCTTGGTGAACTGCTCCTGGAGGCTTCTTTGAGCGTCTTGCAGGATTCTTGGGCCGTCTGGAGGCCGCCCGGGCGTCCATGGACAAATCGTTCGGCGATTCGGGGCTTCGTGCCAATGTGGCCTGAGAGGCCCCAAGAGTACCGCAAGATGCTTCGTAATTATCCATGATGGCTCAAGACAAAGTGCGGGCACTGGTCCTCTGCCAATCCTCTGGCCAAGAGACTTCTCAAGCTCGGCGAGATGCGCTAGCTCGTTCACATCCAGGGCGGCCAGTGCGGTAACCAGATCGGAGCTCAGCTACCCCAAAGTGGTGATCTGTGAAGCGTGCGGTCCTTCGGGATGGCAGCGACTGAAGCTGAGACTCGGGTGTCCAGGCAGGGAGTCCATAAGTGGCTCACGTGGCAGCTTGTCCGGCGCCTTCCACACAAGGTGGTAAACCTAGGTATGCCATACCGGCGCGGCTTTCGTGTTCATTGTGTAGCGGCTGGAGGTAACCCTGCACCCAATGACAGCGGCACTGGGGTCTCGGCGTTCTGCCCCTCCGCGCAAGCCGAGGGAGGTCCGCACAATCTAGTGGTGGGAGTGCACCGGTGCCAGAACCCTCAGCCCACCTGCAGTTCGCCAGATATAGTGTCATCCCAGTGTCGTGAGGAAACCCAGACGGAGGAACCTGCGGGTGTGGCTCGCGGGACCCTTACGAGCAAACCCTCCGTCGGGTGCAGGATAGTGCCTAAGGTCGCTAGGTGGTGGTTCATGTTAGCTGTGCCGGAGGGGTGGTCTAAGAGACCTTTCTCGCCCCCGCCGAGGTGATCTCAGACGAGCATGGGATCGACCCCACGGGCACCTACCACGGCGACTCCGACCTCCAGCTTGAGCGGATCAACGTGTACTACAACGAGGCCACGGGCGGGCGCTACGTGCCCAGGGCGGTGCTCATGGATCTGGAGCCCGGCACCATGGACAGCGTCCGCGCGGGGCCGTTCGGACAGCTGTTCCGGCCGGACTTCGTATTCGGCCAGACCGGAGCTGGAAATAACTGGGCGAAAGGGCACTGCACCGAAGGAGCCGAGCTGATCGATAGCGTCCTCGACGTCGTCCGCAAGGAGGCCGAGGGGTGCGACTGCCTGCAGGGCTTCCAAATGTGTCATTCCTTGGGAGGAGGCACAGGCGCTGGGATGGGAACCCTGCTGATCTCCAAGGTCCGCGAGGAGTACCCGGATCGCATCATGGAGACATTCAGTATTATCCCCAGCCCCAAAGTTTCGGATACCGTCGTGGAGCCGTACAACGTCGTCCTTTCTTTCCACCAGCTCGTGGAGAACGCGGACGAATGCTTCCTGTTGGATAACGAGGCGATTTATGATATCTGTTTCAGGACGTTAAAGCTGACGACTCCGACGTACGGGGACCTGAACCACCTCGTGAGCGCGGCGACCAGTGGCGTGACCACGTGCCTGCGTTTCCCTGGGCAGCTCAAGTGTGATTTGCGCAAAATCGCCGTGAATCTGATTCCGTTTCGCGCCTGCACTTCTTCATGACTGGTTTCGCGCCGCTCACGAGCAGGGGCTCCCAGCAGTACAGAGCCCTAACAGTCCCAGAGCTGACCCAGCTATTCAAGGCTGGCCTCGTCGAGTCGGCGACGTGCCCGTTGTGCCAAGCAGCGGAGGGCACGCTCGGGCACCTCTTCTGGGAGTGCCGGTGCACGGCGGCCCTTCGCCGGGAGCTGCCGCCAGCCGTGGTGCAGGCAACCCAGAACGGTACCCTTCGCGATGCCTCACACGGTGTGGTATTGTCTGTGAGCCGCCGGAGGTCCGCGAAGCTGGTGGCTGGCTGGCTGCCGCCGCGCCGGGCCAGGAGCAACTGCTGCGACAGTGGCGACTGCGGGTCTCGTATCGCGGAGGCCGGCTTGTGATTGCCACGGACGGGGCGTGCTGGAACCAGCAGCTGGAATGGGCTCGCCGGGCCGGTCTGGGCATCTACGTGGGCCCTCGGTGCGGCAACCTCCGTGCAGCTCTCCCCGGCATGGATCAATCCAGTGGGCGCGCCGAGCTCCTCGCCATCATTCTGGTCTTCGCCGAGGCCGGCCGGCTGGGGCTGCAGGTGGAGATTTTGACGGACTACGAGTGCGCCGCCAAGGCTTGGGCAGCGTGGAGCGGAGGCCCGTCCTTCCACCCCAGGGAGCAGTTGGATCTTTGGCGCCGCCTGGAGCCCCTCGCGCGGGCGGCCCTCGCAGCAGGTTCCGCCCTCGCCTGGGTCGCTGCGCACGGCCGTGCGGCACACGAGCAGGAGCCGAGGTGGAACAAACTGGTTGACGACCTCGCCGTGCAGGGGTCCAAGCGGCACACGGGCCTCCAGCGCCTGACCCAGGCCATCCGCCTGAAGGAGGCCAACCAGGAGAAGGCCCAAGCCGTTCAACGGCACATGGTGCGCTGCATCATCCTGTGGGGCCACCAGGAGGAGGAAGAGGAGGAGGAGGAGGATGAGGAGGGCGAGGAGGGCGAGGAGGACGCGCCAGGTGGGCCGGGCCCCGAAGACCTGGCAGCAGCTGGCCCACCCAGTGGCGAGCCGGCCCCTTCCGGCGCTGCACTGGCGGCGGCGGCGCTCGAGCAGGCTGATTTCCCTCGGTGCCCTTGGCAGCGCCAGGCCAGGGCCACGCGCCAGCTCATCCTGGGGCCCCCTGTGGCCCTCCACAGTGGGAATTGGATGATGGGGAGCCACGACAGATACCACGCCATGCGCTGGTACCTGGGCCAGCTCCGGTTCGACGCTGCCGCCTCCGAGGTTGGCACCGCATGGGCCGAGCTGGCCGTGGATTTCGAGCTCAGCACTGGCGTGGAGCTAGCTCCGCCTGGCAGCGCCATGGCCGCGCGGGCCCAGACGTTTGCAGATGTGGCCTCTCGTACCTGGCAGCTGTCCACGCCCAGGCAGCAGCGCCAACGCGGGGGCAACAGGCAACGGGCGCTCGGGGACCTCACAGTGGTCTCTCGGGTCACCGCCCTCGTGGCGCTCGGCTTCAAGCAGGGCCCGGGGGTGACCTCGCGTGCCATCTTCGTGCGGCCCTTCACGTATGAGGTGCTGCTGCGCGCGGCGCAGCGTGGACAGGCAGAGAGGCGCCATGCTCACCTCCAATGGCGGCCAGACTACGCAGGCGGCCCCGCACCGACCATGCCGGCAGCTGTCCGGCACGGACCGCCGGCGCCACTTGTGGTCGCTGCCAAGAGGGCGACGGCTGAGAGGATGGCTGCTGGGCACAACGCCGTCGCCGAGCGAAAGCGCCAGGAGCACAATGCCGTCGCGGACTCCCAGGGCCTCCACGTGCTTGGGCCCATTCCCCCGGGAGCTGACAACTCCCAGCCGGTCGTCTGTGAGCGCTGCGGGCGGCAAACGCAGAAGACGCGCCTGGCCAAGTTCAAGCGGGAAGCTTGCACCGCAGCCTCGGGAGGCCGAGGAGGAGGAGGCGGGGCCGCGCCTGCGGTCCGCCGAGGAGGAGGGGGCGGAGGCCGAGGAGGAGGAGGAGGCTGAGGAGGGGGCGGAGGAGGAGGGCGCCACGCAGATTCCCCACAACCCCAAGATGCAGCCAGTCGATGAGGAGGAGGAGGAGGAGGAGGAGGAAGAGGAGGAGGAGGAGGAGGAGGAGGAGGAGGAGGAGGAGGAGGTAGAGGGAGAGTGTCGCCAGGCAGCTTGGCTACCACAGCTGGGAGATGCCGGGTGACGGTCGCCTTGCTGGGTGGCTGAATGGATGGTCTGCCGTTCCGTATTGGCAGAGCTTATTCTCCTTTTTCCTGCAGGTCAACACTGTGTCAGGTTCCTCGCAGAAGCACCGCCCCCGCCAGCAGATGTTCGATGCGAAAAACATGATTTGCGCCGCAGACCCGCGTCACGGTCGCTACTTGACCGCCGCGGCGCTCTTCCGCGGTCGCATGTCCACGAAGGAAGTTGACGAGCAGATGTTGAATGTTCAAAATAAGAATTCGTCGTATTTCGTCGAGTGGATCCCGAACAACATCAAAGCGTCGGTTTGCGACATCCCCCCGAAGGGATTGAAGATGGCGGTGGCCTTTGCCGGCAATTCTACGGCTATTAATGAGCTTACGCCACACCGCCGACCCCTTGGTGCGGCAGCAATCGTCCCCCGCGTGGCCTGTCTTGGCAGCCTGTGAGACCCCTCTATACACGTTTTGGAGCCCTCTTAGGACTGTCCTGGCGTTCCCCCGGGCCGTTGCTATGGTTTCTGGGGCCTTCGTGGGGCGCCTGGAGGCCGTCGTGTAGCCTTTTGGAGAGTCTCTTGGGGTGCCAGAGGTCGATCTTGGAGATTTCCTGGGCTGTTGTGGGCCTCGTGGAAGCCCAAGAAGTGAGTATGCTGAAAATGTACGTTTTCCGTAGTGAATGGGACGGTTTTTGCTTCTGGAGGCCTGTTTGGAGCGTCTCGTGGTCGCGTATGCAAGCGTCTTGGACGCCCATGGTGCTGTCTGGAGGCAATCTTGGGTGGGCCGAATCGTCCCCCGCGTGGGCCGTCGGGACAGCCTTTGGGAGCCCTCTTGGCCCGCTTTGGAGCCCTCTTGGGACCGTCCTGCGGCTTTCCTGGGCCGTTGCTGTGGTCTCTGTGGCCTTCGTGGATGGCCCGGAAGCCGTCTTGGAGCCTTCTTGGGAGCCTCTTCGGGTGACAGGGGTCGATCTTGGAGGTTCATTGGGCCGTTGTGGGCCTCGTGAAAGCCCACGAAGCGAATGTATTGAAAATGTACGTTTTCCGTGGGGAATGGAACGGTTTTTGCTTCTGGAGGCCTTATTGGAGCGCCTCGTGGTCGCGTTTCCAAACGTCTTGGACATCCATGGGGCCGTGTGGCGGCGATCTTGGGCGGTTTGGACCGAATCGTTCCCCGCGTGGGCCGTCCGGACAGCCTTTGGGGACCCTCTTGCCCCGTTTTGGAGCCCTCTTGGGACCGTCCTGCGGCTGTACTCAGCCGTTGCTATGGTTTCTTTTGGGACCTTCGTGGATGGCCCAGAAGCCGTCTTGGAGCCTTTTTGGGAGCTTCTTGGGCTGGCGAGGGTCGATCTGAGGCTTCTTGGGCCGTTTTGCGCCGCGTGGGAGCCGAATGGGCGAATGTGCTGAACATGTACGTTTTCCCTAGGGAATGGGACGATTTTTGTTTCTGGAGGGCCTCTTTGGGGCGCCTCGTAATTTTTTTCCAAACGTCTTGGGGACTTATGGAGCCGTGTGGAGGCAATCTTCGGCGTTTTGGGGCGATCTTTCGTCGATTCGTAGCTCTCTTGGACCGTTCTGGGAACCTCCAGAACCTTTTTGGCCCGTTTTGGGGCCTCCTGAGGCTCCAAGTGTGCGGATGATGGATTTGTCTTCCCCCCCCTCCAAACCGGCCAGACCAGGCCCCCGGGGGAGGGGTTTGGGGAGGGGGAAGCATCTCACACGCTGTGACCCCAAGGGGTCGGCGGATTCAAGAAATGTTCAAGCGTGTAGCAGAATATGTCACTGCCATGTTCCGGCGCTAGGCGTTCCTTCATTGGTACACAGGGGAGGGCATGGACGAGATGGAGTTCGCCGAGGCCGAGAGTAACATGAACGATCTGGTTTCCGAGTACCAGCAGTACCAGGACGCCACCGCCGAGGAGGAGGGCGAGTTCGACGAAGAAGAGGATGGCGAGCAGTGATGGCGTCATTGACTCGTTGTGGCCAGCCTCTGAGGTCGGGCAACGGATGTGTGAGCAAATCAGTTCTGAACCGTCGGCCAAGTACACATTTATGCATGTTGGAGCGGCCGTTTCCCCGCTCACCTCGAGAATTCGCCTCCAGCTCGGACGGCCAGTCTGCCGGACGGTCTTCACCATACACGAAAATAAGAGTATCGCAAACTGCTGCAAGAGAGCTCCAAGAGGCGGAAAGAGAAGGCCGAAACATCGCGTCAAACTCCCTTGGGTTTTGGAAGGTTTTTGGCTTCTTCAGGTTTGCGGCTGAACATGCCTCGAAGAGGGCTTCGGAGGGGTCCGAGAAGTCCACAAGAGGGCCCCGAGAAGGGGCCAAATGAACCCACGAGGGCTTCAAGCGGCTCCGAAGAATGCCCAGGAGGGTTTCTGGAGAGGTTCCTAATGGCGCTTAGAAGCGGCCGGGAGTCTCCCGTGCGAAGGCCTTCTTGAGTTGAGGGCACGATGGCGGCCAGCGGACGCCCAGGGTGCAGCCAGGGCCCCCGGGCCGGCGGAATGAGCAGGCCGCGGGGAGGACCCCAGGAGGGGTTGCCGAGGCTCCGAGGAAGGGCAAGGGCACGAGGAGTGTGTGGGCAATGGACCGTTTCTTGGGGGCCATCTTGGAGGAGATCGGTCAACGAAAGGGGGGTCCCTCAATTGAGGTCCCCCCCCCAGGAGGCCAAAATGGGGCCCAAACCCTTGTAAAATCAATGATTTTGGCTTCCTCGCCGAGGCCGTTTTGGACGCTCTAACTCCCTGCGGCGCCCCCCACTGTCCAGGTCCAGGGGGGGGGTAGGAGGAGGGGTTAACCCGTTCCCGAAGGGGAAGAGGGAGGGGTGGAAGAGGAAACGCCCGAAACCACCGACGCCCAGAGGGCTGGCGGGATTCTTGCAGACCGCGCGGCGGGGATCTCACACGCCGTGCAGTCATAAACCCTCATAAGGACGCGCGACTTTGCTCAGGGTACCCTTGCGTCCTTGCTCTTCCTGGCTCTTGCGTCCTTGGGGTTTTCGTCGTCCGCCGCCCCAAAGGTCCCAGCTTCGGCTTCCAAGGGTCTTGCGTCCTTACCGCGCGTCCTTATTTGGGTTTTTGACTGTACCCGGTGGGGCGGCGGATCGCTTCACTCATTCCGCAGGCCCATGTTGCATGCTCGCTGGGGCTTCGTCGCGGGCTCCAGGCCGGGGCGGCGCCGCCGAGGAGGAGAAGGAGGAGGACGAGGATGGGGAAGGGGAGGGGCGGTGCAGGAGAGGACGAGAACAGAAGGATGATGACGAAGAGGAGTGGGAGGAGGAGGAGGAGGAGGAGGAGGAGGAGGAGGAGGAGGAGGAGGAGGGAGGAGGAGGAGGAGGAGGAGGAGGAGTAGGAGGAGGAGGAGCAGGAGGAGCAGGATAAGCAGGAGCAGCAGGAGGAACAGGACGCGCAGGAGGAGCAGGAGGAGCATGAGGAGCAGGAGCAGGAGGAGGAGGAGGAGGAGGAGGATGATGAGGAGGAGACAGAGGAGGAAGCCTTTCGATGGCATCTTGTGGCGCCCTTGAGGCCAAACAGGGTCGTCGTCAAGATGCTTCTTTGGGAGGTCCCTTGGGGTCTCTTGAGAGGCTTCTCGGGGGCGCCTGGGAGGTATTTTTGGGACGATGTGGGACCGCCAGGTCGCAACAGTAATGTTGATTCGCGGCGTGCAGGTCCGAGGTATGGTGCTTTGGCACGGTTGAACATTTACAGACGATTGTCTTTCAACGGGGCTCTTCCCGCAGTGAAAGTAAATCCTGTCTGATAGGAGACAATGAAGAGGGAACTTGGAGGGAGGAGGATTGCAACATCCTTGATGAGTCATGGTTTTGCACTGGGGCTCCTCCTCCTTCTCCTCCTCCTCCTCTTCCTCCTCCTCCTCCATCCCCCCCCTCCTCCTCCTCCTCCTCCTCCTCCTCGTCCTCCTCGTCCTCCTCCTCCTCCTCCTCCTCCTCCCCTGTGCGCCCTCCCGCTCCTCCTCCTCCTCCTCCTCCTCCTCCTCCTCCTCCTCCTCCTCCTCCTCGGGGCATGTCCTGTCCCGCCTGAGCTCTGGTAGGTGGGCTTGCAGTAAATGCCGACAAACACCAGGGCGCCTCTCCTTGGCCGTCTGGCTCCAGAGTTGTGCGTGTCGCGGGGACGTCTGTACGAGGGGCTTGTGCGAGCAAGGCCACGACGTCTATGTCCCCCCCACCTGTATCAGCGAGTTGAAGGTCGGTGCCCGCAGTGTGCACCCCTCTCATTCCATAGCCATGCAGAAGGTGCCAGGTGCTGGAGGTGTGCCAGGTACGCCCCCATCGTTGCTGGGGGGGGGGCGGCTCTGTAAGCTGGCCTACGAGTGCCCCCAGGAGCGCACCCCCTCTGGCCAAACGATGATAAATCGTCTCCGTCGTGGCCTCACCCCGAAAGCGGGGATGCAGTGGCCCATACCCCCAGGGGGGGGTGGCGGATCAGCTCCCTTGCCTGCGGTCGGCAGCTCGGCCAAGGATTTCGGGAGGCGGACGGACGGGAGAGTCGGCAGCTCGCTCAAGGCCCCCCCCCGTCGACGATGATTATAACCTCTGTTACAGATTATCCGTAATCTGCACGCGGGGGGGCGTAGCACTGCTCCGACCCCCTCTTGTTCGAGCTTTCCCGAGCTTTTTTTTTTTTCCTCCTCCTCCTCCTCCTCCTCCTCCTCCGCCTCCCCGCTCGCGCCCGCACGCGCGCTGCCCCCTCGCGCGTGCGAGGTCGAGCTCGAGTGGAGCTCGCTGCCGGACGCCGCGAAGCAGGCCCCCCCCCGGGGTGGAGAGCTCCCTCCGCGTCCTCCCCTTCGTGGCCGCCTGCCCTCGAAGCAGAGGACGCTGGGAGGAGGCAGAGGTGCCCATGCCGTTGCCCTTCCCTCGTGTCCCCCTTTCTTGGGTCTCCCGGGAGGCCCTCGTCGCCACCGCCGGATTCGCCTCGAAGTCTTGTGCAGAGTGCACGTCCGGAGAGGTCGGGGGAGCAGCGGTATCGGCACCTCCTTTTCCCAAGAACGCTGCACGTACATGAGCTTTCGGAGCTCCGGGCGAATTCCCTCCAGTCCGGCAGGCAGACAGAAGAAGACAGAACTACATATTCCAAACTTTCGTAATCACGAGAGGGGGGGGTCACAACCTTCCAGACGAGCATTGTTAGACCCCCCCCCAGTCGGGCCATGAAAGGGCGGCCTCTTGCCCAGACCCCCCCTGGCCATTTCAAGACAGCTCAAAGCAGTCCCCTCCGAAGTCAGACCCCGCCCCTTTTGTCTAAAGGCTGCCGCCCGCCTCTGCCGCCGACCCCAGCTGGTGCTTTTGGGGGGGAGTAGGGGCGTGGGGCTCTACTTGGGGCTCTGCGGATCCTCCGGGGCCGTCGTGGAGGCGTTTAGGGGTCTCCTGCGCGTAGATTTGTCGCTTCAGCCAACGTGCATAGATTGATTTCCGCTTTTCGAAGACCTCTTCGAGTTCCTTGCGGGGCGTTCTTGAGGCGCTTTGGGCGCCTCTTGGGCTGTCGTCAGACACGTTGGTTCGTCACCCCCTCCCCGATTATTTCGCCAGAGTACCACCTCGGGAGCGTGCAAGCGCGATGTAATGTACGAAGGATGGTGGCCTTAGGAGCGCGACCGCGTCGTAATGCACTCATGGTCGTGGCCGCGGGAGCGCGGTCGTGTCACAATCCACTAGGGATTGTGGCTCCGGGCGCATCAAGTTGGTAGCGCGGCGGGGGTCCCAGCGCGCGTTTTCGTAGGGTTGGGGTGCTTTAAACAGCAGCACAAAAAAAGGTTCAGGGGGGTGGGGGGGTGTCAGACGTGGTGGGTGGCGCGGTGAGGGTCCCAGCGTGTGTTTTCGTAGGGTGGGTGGCCCGTAAAACAGCACGCAAAGAAGGTCCATGAGGGTGGGGGTGTCACACGTGGTGGGTGGCGCGGTGGGGGTGCCGCCGCGTGTTTTCGTAGGGTGGGGGGTCCCTAAAACAGCATACAAAGAAGGTCCATGAGGGTGGGGGTGTCAGACGTGGTGGGTGGCGCGGTGGGGGTCTCGGCGCGTATTGTCGTAGGGTGGGGGGTGCCTAAAACAGCATACAAAGAAGATCCAGGAGAGTGGGGGTGTCAGAAGTTGTGGGTGGCGCGGTGGGTGTCCTGGCGCGCGGTTTCGTAGGGTGGGTGTGTGTTAAAAACAGCACACAAAAAAAGGTTCAGGGGGATGGGGGTGTCGGATGTGGTGGGTGGCGCGGTGAGGGTCACGGCGTGTGTTTTCGTGGGGGGGGGGGTGCCTAAAACAGCACAGAAAGAAGGTCCATGAGGGTGGGGGGGTGTCAGACGTGGTGGGTGGCGCGGCGGGGGTTCCCAGCGCGTGTTTTCGTAGGGTGGGTGGTCCCTAAAACAGCACACAAAGAAGGTCCATGAGGGTGGGGGTGTCAGACGTGGTGGGTTGGGGGTCCCGTCGCGTGTTGTCGTGGGGTGGGGGGTCCATGAAACAGCACACAAAGAAGGTCCAGGGGAGAGGAGGTGTCAGACGTGGTGGGTGGCGCGGTTGGGGGTCCCGGCGCGCGTTTTCGTCGGGTGAAGGGTTCCTAAAACAGCATACAAAAAGGTCCAGGAGGGTGGATGTGTCAGACGTGGTGGGTGGCGCGGTGGGGGTCCCAGCGCGTATTTTCGTAGGGTGGGGGGTCCCTAAAAACAGCATACAAAGAAAGGCCATGAGGGGGGGGGTTGTCCGACGTGGTGGGTGGCGCGGTGGGGGTCCCGGCGTGTGTTTTCGTCGGGTGGGGGTCTCTAAAACAGCACAGAAAGAAGGTACAGGAGGGTGAAGGTGTCAGACGTGGTGGGTGATGCGGTGGGGGTCTCGGCGCGTGTTGTCGTAGGGTGGGGGGTTCCGAAAACATCACACAAAGAAGGTCCAGGAGAGTGGGGGTGTCAGACGTGGTGGGTGGCGCGGAGGGTGGGGGTGCATACAGCAGCACACAAGAAAAGGTTTAGGGGGATGGGGGTGTCAGACGTGGTGGGTGGCGCGGTGGGGGTCCCAGCGCGTGTCTTCGCAGGGTGAGGGGTCCTTAAAACAGCACACAAAGAAGGTCCATCAGGGTGGGGGTGTCAGACGTGGTGGGTGGCGCGGCGGGGGTCCCAGCGGTCCCTAAAACAGCACGGAAAGAAGGTCCAGGAGGGTTGGGGTGTCAGACGTGGCGGGTGGCGCGGTGGAGGTCCCGGCGCGTGTTTTCGCAGGGTGAGGGGTCCCTAAAACAGCATACAAGAAAAGGTCCAGGAGGGTGGGGGTGTCAGACGTGGTGGGTGGCGCGGTGGAGGTCCCGGCGCGTGTTTT